TGACCCCTTCATTTCCAAAGATATGAAGTGCATATGATGACGAAATATCCTGTTCCTGTCTTTTAACACGGAGGTGAAGCGTTGGACTCATTCTGTGTGGAACGGACATGTCGGCCCTTTTGTGTCGCAGTTCTGTCACCGACTGTCTCCACTCGTCGACTCGTGCAGTAGTGCCTCGCCTCTTAGAACACTCGTTCAGTCTGACTCTTTTTGGGGCGTCTTTCACGGTATTGCCCATGTCCTTCCTCGTTAGTGCGTCAGTTATCACTACGAATCCATACTTGGACCCCAGTCTTTTTTCACCCACACCAAATCCGTCCAACACGTTCAAAGATGAGCAGGAACGACTACGAAAACTGAAAAGAATGGGTCGTTGAAAAGCCCTACCTTTACAATCTTCGCAGCCATTCCCGCTCACAGAAAAAAAGAAGTAGTAGTTATAAATGAAAATGAAAGAATACACAAGATAGTAAAAGGAGAATAGGGCGTGGAAGACAAGAGAAGTTCACCTATTATGCAGCAATGAAGGAAAGACCAGCTATACTATCGGCCAACAGGAATGCAAAAAAATAATGGGCCGGAAAACGGAAAGGGAGACAGAACAGGGAAAAAAAGGAAAAATTCATTGCATGTGAAAAAGAGATGGAAGGTGAAGGCAAGTTATAGAAATGAAGGTTGTTCAAATCTATCAGAGAAAATACGAAAGCATAGAAATGTAAGTTAAGAAGGAGAAATCGGTGGGAGAACGCTGAAGATAAAAATGAGGCGGAGCAGAGCTAGAAAAGCAGTCAAGGAACACATCTGAATGAAAAACTTATGGCAATGGTTTTGTTAACTGGCCATATTTTGAGCTGAAATCGTCTCTAGAGTTATAACTACACTAAAAATACGAAATAATTACGTGAAGATTCACCTCTGTTAGGATATTACGCCCTTCTTCGTCCCGGGGAATGAAATCATACTGGTGGTCGTTCGAGGTTCCTAAACCAATGTGATCAAGCAGTATTTCCACGAAAGGAGCAGTGCAGATGACGATTATTTAAATAGAATTGCTCACCATTCGAAGAGCTTTGTACATTGCTTGCGGAAGGTTCACTCCCTGTGGTATCATCAGGATTAACATCGTGCTGCTCTTCAACCTCTGCATGCACTAATATCGGAGCAGATACAGTTGCTTGTACAATTTCACCACCTCCCGGTAGCTGAAAAAACGCTATAATTAACACATACGAGGTGAAGGCCATTTCGCCCAGAACTCACGTTCGTCGTTGTTTTTGGCATATTTTTACAATTTTTTCTTCGTATTGATGTGTTAATTGTGTAAATGTATGCTAGTAGAATACAATCAGTCTCAAAAAGAACAACAAACTATGCGCGTGAGAATGACCGAAAAGGGGTTTCCGCGTGTACTCTCGGGAGTACAAGCCGCCTCGAAGGTGTTAAACCACACTCAAACATCTGAAGCAGCTAATAATGGAACCATATGATCTACAAAAAATAAAGGATAAAATCTTCGCCGCTGATTAACCTTTTTTGGAATGCGGCACGCATTCCACTTCAGAAACTTCATTCCACTCCAGAAACGAAGTGGCTTATTGAATGCAATGTGGCCTATAAAATGACTTGCGGGGGCCAGCCTATGTACAAGTCAAGGTTATTATCCTCCCAGACGAGTGGCACCAACTGACCATCCCCACGGCATAGAAAGTTTGGTTGGCGCCTGGGCGGGAGCAGATTCGGCATTTGATCCACTGACTGTGCGCGTGCATAGCGCGCCATTTACTACTATGCCACTTCCGCCCCATATGACCTTATAATATATAGAGCATGTTGGTTTGTGTGGAACATTGCTTCCCAAAATGCTTGAAAGAGAGCAAAAGGATACGACTACTCACCTGAACCGACTGACCAGGAGGGAACATACGGTTACCAGTTCCTCGGACATTTTCTAAAAATGAAACAAATAGACAATTGTTAAAGATAATGCTTTCGATGCCATGAAACTTTGGTTAATTTTCTTGGAAGTTCCGTGCACAAATGCGTATTCCAGAAGTCTATTTAGGAGCGGAAACCTTCAGTAAAGAGATTCAAGAGGAGCGAGAAGTCCACATTATCAATAACAAGTAGGCACAGAAGGATAAAACTGAAGGCAAAATGACCGAGAATTCACGTAAAAGTCTCATAAAAGGAGAATGAAAAGTCTGCGAGTGAAAAAGATCTTAGTGGTAACAGCACAGTTTTCTTATGTAGCCTGCGTTGTTTGAGTGTAACGTCGCAGTGGCAAGAAAGAAGAAGAGAAGCCAATGTAGTCCAAAGGGTCCCGAGGAGTGACAAAGGATAGCTGGTGGTAAAAAACGGTATAAAAGAGAAAAAAAAAGAGAAGGTATGTGTGAGGTAGCCGAGGATGAGTGTTGGGGAAAACAGAGGTAAGTTCGCAAAACTGTGCGAAACCGAGACAAATAAATTCGTCAGACTAGACAAGTGGTCCGTTGGTCACGTGGTGACTTGACTGGCATTTATCTTCTGGTAACGGCTATTAAACAACTTTACAAGTCACCAGCATCATTGTCTCCAGCACTGACCGCTGATCTACCAACAGCTTTACCAGTCACCACAAATCCTTTTTCTTGTTTGGATATTTTCAGTCCTCTTTACCGTCTTAGTAGTGAATATCATAATCCACGATCGACTTTCTTCCAATTTTGACGTAATGCATCACAACGAATATCTTTTATTGAGCCTTCGAAGAATTATAAGTTTCTCGGCTTACGTTTTGGCTACTTTACATTTTTCAGAGTCTGAAAAATCGGGAAACATTTTAAATCAATCTACTCAAGAACCTATACGATCCTGAAGAGAATTTCCCAAGAACAGTAAACCACCAGATAGCGGAGCGCACCAAAGGTCTTACCTTATCTCCGTCGCCGTGAAGCGACGTCGGCCAGGAATGTTTTCCGACCTTTCACTTTGAAGAAAACGATGAGGCCGAAACGTAAGCCGAGTAAAGTTAAATAATTTTGGGCGCTGTTTGTCGACGGGGGGGGCATTTTGTATTATCATTGCTTCCCTAGTTCCGGTTTACAAATCTCACTCTGGTAAAACTTGTGAACTCTTGTGAAGCTGAAGTAAGATCGTCTAGCCACTATCCTAAAACGTGTCAACTCGAGAAACGGCTGCCTAGATGGGTCGACACATCTATGGAAAGCAAAATGCCCCCCCCCCGTCGACAAACTGCGCCTAATTTTGGAATGCTTAATAAAGGATATTCATAGTGATCACCATACATTAAACACTCATCCCTTGAAGAAACGGGTGTATACATGGTTTGCGAGTTTCTGAATAATCTGAATCTAATTGAATTTGTTGAAGTCCTTCAACCGCGAAGTAAGGGCGGGAGCCGAAATTCTCTTGCTCTGCTCTAGAACTCGAGTTAAAGGCACTACCTGCACTGTTACCATTATAACAGAGAGTATGTGTAAGAACTTAGTGAAAAGAAAATCATTCCCAGCTCTCGGAAAGACTAAAAGGTTCGCGGTCCAGTTAAGCGTTCCTCGAAAGATTCACTAAGCAAAGAGTGGTTCGCCACCGACCTCGTAATGTCAACGCACGAACAAGCGAAAAACTGCCATTGTCCCGCGCGGTGGTCTCTCCGAAAGCGTGATTGTAGTCAATGTAACGAGCGCATAGAGAGAACGGTTCTTCGGCTGACGCATATGGTTGCAGAGAGTCGATAAGACTGACAAACAGAGACTGGTGCTCCAGACAGGAGCAGCCAATTAGAGCGCGTTCAGACTTGGCCATCGCGCGATAATCGCAATCTGGGGCGTTTCACCGCCAATGGTGAACGACGTCATGGCAGCTCAAACGGTAATGAATGCGCTGGCAATTTGCTTATTCCTTGTACATCGAATAATAATAATAACAATTCAGTCAACCTGACAGCAATAAGGGGACAAGCTCACCGCAATTGTCGTTCAGCTGCGCTCTTAATCAGAAAAAAGAAGTAGCGGTTTGAAAAAATGATCAAAACTTTTTAATGGCAACTGCTTTAACCATTAACTGCATCACAACTGTGACGTTTCATTACACGCGTCCCAGCACGCCGAATGGATTCCACTCCGAGCGCGTTCGCACTCGTGATCCTAGCGCTTGGAGCGGCGATCAGCGAAGTTGAACACGCTCTTAGACTGACAACTACTTTTAAAAAATCTCGACTGGAATGAAAGGTGCTCAGAAGAGAACCCGATACAGAAAATAAATAAAAAAAGCCACAGAATGAAAAAAAAAATTAAACTGTGAACAACTGACAGACACAATAGATACTCGAACAACTGCATCCATCTGTCATTCGTATCATTCCTCGCAGTACGCTGCATGCTCCAAGGCTAAAACTTCACCTGGATATATACCCAAGAAAATTCTTCGCTTAAGGGCTAAAGTGAACCGCATCTACGTCAATATTGATCGTTATGGTTTTCGTATTTATGCTAAATACGCTCAGAAGCTTAAGCGTTTGATCACTCGTTTAGCCATTACTTGTCGTTGACGGAAGAAAACTTTGCCAAGACAGAGAAAACCTTCGTCGTTTTTCGATATTCGCAATACGGAAACTTAACGTGTCCCATGAATTCCTGAGTTATTCTGACGCAATGCCATCTGCTCGTCAGGACATTGGAGAAAGTCGTAGCGTTTGCTGAGCTGATTCCGGCTGTTTAGTTGGGAATCAAACCACTACGTATCCCCCTCAATTCCTCCCCATACTTTAAGCTGGGTAGATATCTCCACTGAATCAGTTTACAGGTTGCTGTCAAAGCTCCCCAACAGGTATTCCACGTCTCCTGATAATATTCCTTATGCGTTTCTCAAACGTGCTGCTCTGGGCCTGGCTAAACCTCTCACGCTCCTCTTTAACAAGTTCTTGCTGTTAGGTGATTGTCCTGATATTTGGAAAACCGGTTTAGTTAAACCGGTCCACAAAAAAGGTCCCCGTAACTTGGTACACAACTATCGACTGTCTTACTTCTTGTGTCGTAAGTAATGAGAAGAATATTTGTCTACGTAATTCTCTCGTTTTTCTGCTGATAAAAACTATCTACAACGCCCTGCGGCAGCACGGGTTCCTACAGGCAAACCGTCTACTGACTACTGCCTTGCTTTCAACCCTTCCGCGATGGCATAGGGAGCTGGATCGTGGATCTTACGTGTCCGTCTGCTTTGTCGATTTCAAGAAAGCATTTGATTCCATCCCTGTCTCGCTGCTTCTCAAAAAGTTAGAAGGCGTAGGCTTAACTGGCTGCCTTCTCCGTTTCATTAGCTCGTTTTTGAGCAATAGAACGCAGTCGGTAGTCATAAATGAAGAACGTTCCTATTTATACCCTACTTCTAGTGGAGTTCCACAGGGTAGTTGCATTGGGCCGCTTATGTTCCTGATTTATGTTAACGATCTCCCCATGGTTTTCCCTCCAGGCGTTCACATTTCCCTGTATGCCGACGATTCTAAAATTTTCACTATAAACAATGCCGGCCTTTTGCAAGATGGTATTGATGCCTTGACCCGTTGGGCTGCCAGGTGGGAACTTGAGATCTCTGAGGAGAAAACTACGGTGATGTGTTTAGGGACGAACCACCAGACGTCGTTTTCCGTTTGAACGGCTCTCCTCTCAGTTACTC